GCAGGTGTCACCTTGTGGGTGATGCTGCAATAGACTCATAAACCTAGGGTTAGACTGTTAGCTAAGCTAGCAGGGACACACCAAATACCTCGAGGTCAAACAAGAAAAAGAAAAAGAAACAAAGGAAATTGTTCCTAGTTCTATCTGGGACTACATTGTGTTGAACAGTAACTGCCCTTCAATGTACTAGGTCTGGCACTGAGGAGTGGGGAGAAGTAGAGAGGAAACAGGGATTAGGCTACTAATAACCTGTATAACTCATTAAGGAAACAACAGTTGCTAGAACTACTGTAATCCTATACAAAGAGCGAAGATGGTGATGGTAAAATAACTAAAATAAGGTAAAAGTAAAACAAAAACAAAAGAAAAAGAAAAACAAAAACAAAAAAAGGGGTCCTAATAGCTGTAGGAAACTAAAAGGAAAAGTAAATAAACAAATTGATTTAATTAAAACTCAGATTTAATAAAAATCAATTTAGCTGAATTGGTACATTCATGCTAAACAAATGTAAATAAATGCAATAAAATAAAAGAGAGGTAGAATAAAGTCAAAACAAAAATAAACAATAACACAAGTAAAAACCAAAGTATGTGGGGAGGGACCGGCCGAACTGAATCCAAAGAGGAGGTGATGGCATCAACAGCAAGTGACACCAGGAGTGACGGGGATAGAGAGAGAGAGAGAGAGAGAGAGAGAGAGAGAGGAGTGGTTTGAAAGTTACACTTTACACACCTATCTAAGTGTTAGTCGGATGCTAACAGCTAGCAGTTGAGGTAAAGGGCTTAGCTTAAGAGTTAGCATTGGTTACACGCAGTTCTTTGTTTACACACAGGTCTGTGAAGTGGGGCTGTTGTCAGATTAACCGGAAGAGTCTGCTCACACTTCCGGGGTCACGTGTTGCTAGGAGACCAATGCAAACTCACATCAGGTGCAAGGGGAGCAGAACTTGCACTGCTGTGAGCATGCATGGGAAACTCATGCGGGGCATAACAGTCAGTTATGACATGTCCCATACAAATTCATTCATTAATCAAAACAGCACATTCACTTCACAGGCAATGGTGGATTCGTAGTTAGCTACGCTAGAATAACACCATTAATTTTACGTAAATGTTTCACATGAGCGAATCAAAATGAAATACAATGATACGTAACACATAATAAGGCCTTAAATTAGTGAAATGAGGAGCATCGCTCAGATCACCTATACAGTACTGAAAAAGGGGATTTCTTCGCCCAAGATCAGACCGATTTATTCTGGTACCATTTATATGGGCTGCTAATCTGAGATTTATCCGTCAGAAAAGGCGTACCCTCTACTAACAACAGAAATTAGGATTTCTTCGCTAAAATCAGGTTAGTTTCTTATCGTACGATTTAAACACATTATAGCACTGAAAACTTTCTACTGCTTGTAGGAAGGCACATTCAAGCTATAGTTTTATCTGATTTTGATCAGAAACTGGTGCGCGCATGTATAAGAAGTTACGTAAATGTTTCACATGAGCGGGTCGATATGAATACAATGATACATAACACATAATAAGGCCTTAAATCAGTGAAATGAGGAGCATCGCTCAGATCACCTACACAGTGCTGAAAAAGGGGATTTCTTCGCCCAAGATCAGACCGATTTATTCTGGTACCATTTATATGAGCTGCTAATCTGAGATTTCGTCGTCAGGAAAAAGACTTATGCTCCACTAACACAGAAATTAGGATTTCTTCGCTAAAATCAGGTTAGTTTCTGTCGTACGATTTAAACACATTATAGCACTGAAAACTTCTACTGCTTGTAGGAAGGCACATTCAAGCTATAGTTTTATCTGATTTTGATCAGAAACTGGTGCGCGCATGTATAAGAAGTTACGTAAATGTTTCACATGAGCGGATCAATATAAATACAATGATACATAACACATAATAAGGCCTTAAATAAGTGAAATGAGGAGCATCGCTCAGATCACCTACACAGTGCTGAAAAAGGGGATTTCTTCGCCCAAAATCAGACCGATTTATTCTGGTACCATTTATATGAGCTGCTAATCTGAGATTCCGTCGTCAGAAAAGACCTATGCTCCACTAACAACAGAAATTAGGATTTCTTCGCTAAAATCAGGTTAGTTTCTGTCGTACGATTTAAACACATTATAGCACTGAAACTTTCTACTACCTGTAGGAAGGCACATTCAAGCTATAGTTTTATCTGATTTTGATCAGAAACTGGTGCGCGCATGTATAAGAAGTTACGTAAATGTTTCACATGAGCGGATCAATATGAATACAATGATACATAACACATAATGCCTTAAATCAGTGAAATGAGGAGCATCCCTCAGATCACCTACACAGTACTGAAAAAGGGGATTTCTTCGCCCAAGATCAGACCGATTTATTCTGGTACCATTTATATGAGCTGCTAATCTGAGATTACGTCGTCAGAAAAGACCTATGCTCCACTAACAACAGAAATTAGGATTTCTTCGCTAAAATCAGGTTAGTTTCTTATCGTACGATTTAAACACATTATAGCACTGAAAACTTCTTACTGCTTGTAGGAAGGCGCATTCAAGCTATAATTTTATCTTATTTTGAATCAGAAACTGGTATGTGCATGGATAAGAAGTTACTAAAACTTATGAGACAGACACATAAGATTGATTACTGGGTCTGCTTGCAAGCAATGTTTAAAACGACGCCACCGTTCTAAATTACTGCTAGTACTGCATAAAGTAGGAACTATTATTTTCCTGGCCATGTGACTGCTGGGATTTTTCTGGCTAGCTTGTCAAGGTCTCTGGGGGTCACATCATGCGCTGCTGCAGGGATGCTTCCCTGTGGTTGCTTGAGGTATTATGGTTCTGTCTGCTGAGTTGTTAAGCAGAAAGTGTTGGCTCCCCCCTTCGTAGCTTAGTGCACGTAAGGGAGTTTGCACTGCTGAGTGAGGATGCAGGAGTAGGGTGTCTCTCCCACTGCATTTCCTTTTGCAGCCTATAAAAGTCCCTGAGTCCTCTTCGGACCATGTCAAGCTTGTCTTGAGCGTTGTTCAGCTGCTGGATCAGAGTCTCAATTCTGGCAACTTTGTCTAAGAGCTCAGAATTTGCTGCTTTAATAGTAATTTTGTGTGGGAAAGTTTCCCTTCCAGGTCCTTTCTGGCTAACTTTCCCAGGTGCTCTTGCTGTTCAGCAGCTGTCAGAGCCTTTTGAAGTCTATTGATTTCCCCCTGTAACTCCATTCTGCTGGGGTCCTTGTGGGATACCGCCGTGATCTGTTGCTTGAGATCATTTACCTCCTGTTTCAATCCCATGAGGTTGTGGGCCAGGAAGATGATGACCTTGGTGAGCTTTTTGTAGCCATAACTCTCGCTTGAGTCATGAGTCAGTAGTACTCTTCCCTCAGTGTCCAGTTGCTTTCGGCTCTGGTGCAGTAGGTGGTCGGCAGCCCTGGGTAGAAGGGTGTTCCTCACAACGCCTGGCCAGTCCTCTTTGGTCTGCATTCTGGGCAGTTAGTCTGAGCATCTGCAACATTTTGGCAAACTTGTGTTGAGAGTAAGGGCTAGAGACTACTACAAGATCAAAACAGAGTGTGGAGCTAGGTTTTACAGCTAGGTTTTGCCAGGTGTGCTTAGCTGAAGTATTAGGTTATTTTTGGGTCAGCATATGTTTGCTGAAAAGGGCGTAAACAGAGTTTTGATTGATGACTTAAGACTGCTCTTATTGTCAAATTATCACTCAGAATTTACTGATGGATCCCAAACAGGCTCAATCTCTGAGGAAGTGAAGTAGAAGAGGGAAAAGGAAAAGGAGAGCATTTCTATTCAGATTATGCTTATTATTTGGTGCTCAGGACGATAGTTATGCCCTAGTGTTTGTCTAGATGACTTGTGTAACAGGGTCATAAAATTAGAACACATGTTGAAAATAAACAAATCAAAAATAAAAGTGTCTCTGGTTCATTTTGAGGTTCAGAGAGATCATCAAATCAAAGTGGAACAAAAGGGGGCATAACATGTAAATGGATTTAAAATTAGCTGACTGCTATTATTAAAACAGGGTAATCAATCTGGTATTGGGAACAATCAGTAGCACTAGTGATCAACTGATTTGTGTTGGGCAACACACCATGTCTGGTCACAGCTGCTGCGTGTTCAGCTCCCATGCTGTGATTTTGCCATGTGTGTGCCCCGCCCTCCGTAGCGCGTTATTCACTGTGCCACTAAAAGCACCCAACAACTTAATGATTCTTCTCTAGATAGACAGTTAAAATGTAATTAAATTTAGATTTAATTAATTAGTAACTGAGCAATAGCATTCAGGAAGGATACATCTAAGATAGTTAAATTCGCTGAGACGAATTAAAGATTGGGAAACATAGAAAGAGAAGAAAAAGAAGGAAAAGAAAGGGAAAAATCAGAAACCAGGGATTAGGTTAAGTTCAAATTACTTCACACTGCATACACACATGCTGTATTTAAAAGCTTCAATTAAAGAGTGCTAACCCCTAATTGTTAAAGCTATTTGGTAGCTTAGCCTAAGATGAAACTATGCTAAGTCGTGTTAGCTTAGCCGCTTAAGGTGGTTTGTTTACAACATGGCGTCGCGTGTGCTATGTGAAGTTAGCGCTTCCTGTGACAAGTCATTGTCATGGTAACCAATGCATGCCAGTGCAATTCAAACAGTTTAGTGTCTGCCTATTTTAAAAGTTGCCCACAGTTTTAGAACGTGGTGCTTTCAGTCCTTCAAGACTTGTTGCATTAAATAAGCACTTCTGTGAGTGCTTCTCTAATTTAACAATAAACTTCTTGCACTTGTTTAAAGAATAACCAAAACGGGTTTACTGTAAGTTAAAGCCGGTTTAAACATATATGTAGTTATGTGTGCCTCACACATGAATACTAAAGTACAGTATTACACCTTTAATTTCACTCAGCGAGTGAAACACAGTAATGACCACCAGGTTGCTAGGCTTGTATATATGCTGTCAAAGTGTAGATGAATTGCTTCAATCTAATTATAAACTATAAGGCCTTTATGCTGTAGAAAGAGGAGCAACACTCAAATCTACCTTGATATAACTGTACTGAGATTTCAGAAACAATTTAAACAATACTGCAATTTTGTGATTTCTTCACTAAAGCATATTACATTATGGTACAGTTTGGAAATGCCGCTGAGCTGAGATTCAGACTTATGCTTTGTCAGAACAGATTTATGCTTTAATACTGAAATTAGGGTTCCTTTGCTAAAAATCAGATTAACCTTACACTGATACCATTAAGCATGAAATACATAAAGACTCTTCCAATCATAATAGCGGTACCAATTCAAGCCCCCACTTTATCTGCATTTAAACAAGCCAGCAAATAGGGACACAACAGCGCATCTCAAGTCACGCCCTATTTTAACCTGGACTACCACGCACACACTTTTAAGTTGACAGTGTTTAAACTCATAACTTTCGTTTTATCATGCCCGCATTCTCTCCACCAATCATGTAACGAATCAGCTCATGGGAAATATGAATAATTAATCATAACTAGTTATAATTAATTATAAATATTTAGATCCGCTGTAGATATTTACTTGACCTCTCAGGGTCAACTGTCTTGTCAATTCTAAGAACGTTAATTTCCTGGTTAAGGGAAATAACTTTCTTACTGTACAATTCTACAAAAGCTTGTAGCATAAATCTGCATGATTAAGTGACTCCAGTTATGAGCAAACAATGAACAACGTCAAGTGTGATACAAGTAAGACTTTATTAACTACATAAACACTTAAACTAGTCTAACATACACATAAACACTTAAACTGGTCTAACATACATATACACACTTAAGCTGGTCTAACATACACATACACACACACACACACACGCATACAGTTGGTATAGGAAAGGGTTAAAGCTTAACTCAGTACAGAGAAGAGAAATAAGGAATGAAGTTATGGAACCATTTGCATATTCAGCAGATCTACACCTGAGGGAAACGTCAGATTCTTAGTTCAAACACACCTTTGTAAAAAGGTGCAAATGATACCTAATGTATCAATTAATAAGACTAAGTTTGAATACTTGCATGTCTCATCTGTCTGAAAGAGAGGTTTGATGTAATCTGAAGTTTCCAGTTGATCTTTGCTGAATTTGGGTCGATGAAAAGAACCAGTTTTGAGTCAGAGAATCTTGATGAGTGGAAAAGTCGAGGCTGAAGGCCTGGCACAAAAACTTAGGATGTCCTGGAGCATTGGAACTCACATCTTATCGAAACCTAACAGAACCACCGACTGGGGAGGGTCCCTGGTGTGGGCCTTTAAGGTCGGAGAAGATCCCCGCCTCTCAAGATGGGCTTGTCCAATGAGAAAGGCCGGTATCCCAAGTGGGAGTTTTGAGATACTG